CAGAAATTTCCCGCGGGTTAATAGAAACACCTGAAGAAGACCAGAAAACACAACGATTGAAACGTTGTTATAATAATAACAAAGATGAGGATATTAGTCCGAATGTAAACACTATAAATAATGTTAACTTCTCATCCCAGAAATTCAGGCAGAAATTCATCATTTGTTTTATTACAACTGTCGGGTGGAATTTATATTTGTATTCATCTCATACAGGGGTGGCTAAAACTTGCTTGATGTAAGAGCCACGTACGATAAAGTTAAGACGTTTGAGAGCCGCAAGACATGAACAAACTTTGTATATACGTTTTTGTCACATACACATTTTGTTACAAAAGTTTAAAATAAATTTTTTAAAAAAACCCGTATCCATGTAGGCAGTTCTTTAAACTGTTAATTTGTATTGGTTTCAGTAATCACAAAGTACACACACACACACACACACATATATATATATATATATATATATATATATATATATAGCAAATGTTTTCAAAATCTTGACTGATGATTGTTTTAACGATATTGAATGTGTTTAATACGACACTCATGTACGGGAACTTCTAAGAAAAATATGCGAATTTGCATTTCAGTAGCATAAAATTAGACTGCCAAAAATAATACTAATAAGGAAAAAAGATTATATTTTTAATGATATTTATTTTGTCTTAGTAAATGTCTTGCATTTCAATGCACGTCAGTCCCCGTCAGTAAGTTTGCAAGTCTGGCGCGAATTGCTACGGTTGCTAGAGGTCTTGCCCTATTTCTCGTGTTCTTGATATGGTAGCTCTTCAAAAACCAAACAGTTCAGCAACCTTAGTAATCGAGGCTCCTGACATGCGAGCTCCAACAATTTGCTCTTTTTCGAACTCGGTGCGGTCATGCATTTAGCTTAAATTTTACTAAATTCTAAAAATGAATAAGACAAAGACAGTAAATTAGATAGATAAACGTATTTACAATAGATATAACCTGCAATTACGAAGTTTTAGTTAAAGTTCTTAATATAATAGGTCTTTGAAATATAGGTGTGGATTTTGCAACTGTTCCAATTATTTTGTCCAACCCCTGTATATCCACGTGCTGCATATTAAAGTTCAAAGAGCCGCATTTGTCACAAAGGTACGTTTTGGTCTCATATAACGTCCACAATCTGATACCAAATGATTGTTGTTATTCTTAATGCCTAACTAATAAAGTCGCCCGCCATATGATCCATCGCTAAAGACGTTGGAAAAATCGTCGGCTCCCTGTAGCGCTTCTTAAATAACCTCCTCCTGCTATGCTCTAAATCTACAATAGACAGATCAGAACAAAACATGGAGCCTTGCTGCTACATCTGTATGGGAGCAGCCCATTCCTCACTTTCCAGCCTCAAGGTCGGCCTTGTGGGTGATGAATTGTTTTTGCCCCTTTTCTACAGACGCTACTCTATTGCTGTTTTCATGACAGATGTTCACGTAAACAACATTCTTTGGTTCCCAAAAATCCAGACGTTCACAGCTACGACCCGCCCCGTCACGTCCACGGAATCACCTCAACCTCATTCCTTTCATTGGCATAGGGAAAGTTCCACTAAGACAGCTTCTTCCCTAGAGCCGTTGCAATGTGGAATGTGCAATGTGCTTCCCTGATCACTACAATCTTAACGTCCCCAAGTCAAGGGTTAAGCATTATCTATCCTACAAATCACCATAATATGCGACCCTTGACCCTTCCCTAAACGCCCTAACAATATCCTCATTCAGTTACCCTCTACCTTGAGAGGAAGCCTCGTATTGGGACGGGGAACATCAGTAAATAATAAAATAATAATAACAATATAATAAGTGTTCGTACAGATGAAAACAAATACGTAGCCATCGTACGATTCGAACTCAGCACCTTCAGATGACATAAAATCAAAATATTGACCTGAAAACGCTAATCATCTTATTCTAATTCTGCCATTACGTCAGATAAACAATGGGTCATTCCTGTTTCATTGCGGGTATAGACGGAAAAAATAGATATCAAAGGCGCTGTTTGGTTTTAGGGAAAGAAAGAAAGAAAGAAAGAAAGAAAGAAAGAAAGAAAGAAAGAAAGAAAGAAAGAAAGAAAGAAAGAAAGAAAGAAAGAAAGAAAGAAAAAGAAAGAAAGAAAAAGAAAGAAAGAAAGAGAGAAAAAAGAAAGAAAGAAAGAGAGAAAAAAAAGAAAGAAAGAAAGAAAGAAAGAAGGTGATAACGTTGTCATGCGTTTAACGTCTGCTTTCAGTCAAAAGGAAAAACTTGTCAATTTTAAATCTTTTCATTTGTACTCTCTTATTACATGGCCTACATTCATATTTACAATTATTATTGCCATATTCGTTTAAAGTTATGTTCAGATATTTAACGAGGTAATCGGGGAATTTCTATGCATACTTTATAGTCACTCAACATGCAAGGAACTTATTCAATCTTTACCTCAAAAATGAAAATATTGAAACCGTGAAACTTTCACGTGTATTTCTAGTGTTTTTAAGTAGCCTTGTTTGATAATGAATTTTATAGAGGTGTTGTAAAGATAGATAGATAGATAGATAGATAGATAGATAGATAGATAGATAGATAGATAAAAAATTAAAAAAATCCTAAAAAGCCAGGAACTACCTACTTAGGTTTCACCTGAACAGATCTTCAGGAGAAACTGGCCAGTTTATTCTGAAGATCTGTTCAGGTGAAACCTAGGTAGGTAGTTCCTGGCTTTTGAGAATTTTATTTTCTGCTCCACTTAGTGTATTGAGCAATTTACGTTTTATCTTATTTACTCGATTGGATTTTGTTTTTTCTTTCGAGTTGAAATTAAGGCACTGGACGATCGCCCTGCTCGGATATTTTTAGTTATTATTTTTATACCAATCCTGGGTTTCACGCTTTAGCGATCGTCAGACAAACTGTGAAACCCAGGGTCACAAACTCACATCTATCCAACCAAATATGTTAGCTCTATCTCTGATATTGAGCGCTTTCTAATAAGTACCGCGCATATAATATATAAATAATTATACATAGATATATTTATTTATATTTATATACACTTTTCACACACACACACACACACACACACACACACACACACACATATATATATATATATATATATATATATATATATATAATATGAAGAAAAATATACAGAAAAAACAAAAAATCTTAATATGTTATTATGTTGTATGAATGTTAATATAAAGTGAACGTCGGACGTTTCGGTCTATTTTAGACCATCATCAGGACATATTCATTCATCTAATTAACATTAGAACATATAAAATTCAACATGAAAAAGACGATGGACATAAAACCACAACTAATCCAAACAGATAACTGAAATTTTTTATATAAGATCAGCGTTCCGTTTAAAATATGATCACGCCGTCGTCACGTGGGCGATGTTGTGAAAACGTATTCGAAGATGATTTCAAAATATTAAAATATTAAGCAAACTCGATTGAACTATTTTCTCATATAAACAGTTCGTGAAGAAATCCCTTCCGTTGATATAGGAATACGCAGAGATCAATTGGTTCTTATATTTTCATACAAGCTTGAAGTCTTCCATGTTACAAAGTAAATCAAAAATTATTTCAAAATATTATACAGGCACGATGGAACAATTTTAAACAGTTCGTTAATAAATCCTTTCCTTACTTACAGGAATAGACTGAGATCAATAGATCCTTATATTTTCGTACAAGCTTGAAGTCTTCCATGTTATAAAGTAAATTCAGGTTTGTATTGCCAGTAGACAGTATGTAAGCAAATATATGGATATAGATCCGACAGTATGAAGAAAAATATACAGAAAAAACAAACAACAATCTTAATATGTAATTATTCTGTATTAATGTTAATATAGTCAACTTTTATATGTTCTAATGTCAATTATGTTATGAATATGTCCTGATGATGGTCTAAAATAGACCGAAACGTCCGACGTTGACTTTATATTAACATTAATACAGCATAATTACATATTAAGATTTTTGTTTGTTTTTTTTCTGTATATTTTTCTTCATACTGTCGGATCTATATCCATATTTTTATATTTATATATATATATATATATATATATATATATATATATATATATATATATATATATATATCCGAACAGGTTTGATTAAATAGAACCAACAAAGTCGGTTTATTTTTTTAATATTTTTTTACAACCTTGGGCTGTTGGAAAAGTAAAATAGGAAGAGAATTTTCATCAGTATTAGAAAAAGCCAATGAACCGGGGAAGTTTAATTTATATAAAGAATTTATAAATTTTAATCCAAAGTAACACTAACTGTTCGGTAAGTGAATGCCGATTATTTCCTGTATGGAAACGGCTAATTTTACCATCATCATTTTACCTATAATATTATGAAATAAGTGACTTCCTGAATTTCCCGAATGATGGATGTGAAAGCATAAAACCTGCAGTATCCTATGCATTCAGAAGAGACAAAATGAAAAAAAAAAAAACTTATTATATTTATAAGATAATGTTTTGAAGCGAAACAGTTTCCCGAATGTTGAGAAAAGATGACTTTATTTGAGGAATTGCACAACCACGAAGATATCATAACGATTCTTTTTTCTCCGACCTAGATGGAAATAATGCTGTAACATTTTGAAGAATCAAAATTGTTTTTCACTTATCCAACGCCTTAATATTATCTACAATAACTTGGAGAATGACTTCCCCATAATTCTATCCAAGTAAATAGAAAGTACCCACACTTCTATACACTCTTGCGAAATTATCCCGCCATTTTTAGACTGGTGATGAAAATGGATTTTCTGCAGGAACATAAAGCGTTTTATCGATTGATCGAATTATTTTTTGCGGCCTATCCACCTTTTTGAAGTCATTTAATGGCGAAACATATTTTTGGATTGTAAGAATTGCTAGAGATGATAATTATTTTCTGATACGAGTCTTACGATTTCGCATTCCGAGCCTTTACCCATTACACCACCCACACATTCAAGCTTGCAGCACTTCGTATTCGCGAGCGGTCACCCATCTAGACAATGACCAGGTTTAACGTTGCTTAACTTTGGTGATCGGACGAGAACCGGTGTTTCAACGCGATATGAACTTAAGTCTAATATAAAGCAATCCAGTCAAAAGCTTAGTTAAGTTGAAAAGGTTGAAAATGTATTTAGAACCAAGAAAAGTGTTGGCAAATGTTACGTGGCATTACGCCATTTTAAATGGCTACCAATCGTTGTTACAATTACTTGTTAACAATGGATGTATGTTGTAACCGCATCATTTACAAAGCTTTATAAACAACTAGCAGCATGGCCCGGCTTTGCCCGGGCTTGATTCAAAAATCGTACGACTCATACAGCAATCGCTATCACTTGACTTAAAATATTTTTGCCCTTCCTTGCCTATAAAGGAGTGCCCTTTGCCGTGCTGATGTTGCTACATGCTTTACTTCTTGCCTATCTCACACTGCGAATTTTTTCTAAGCTCTATACTAAACATTAAATCTGTTACGAAAAAAGAACTAAACAAAATGAACACAAAACGATCAGATTTAAAAAAAGGACTCGTAACTGGAAAAACCGAATGAAAAAAGAATGTTAACAACAAATACTTTTTCACACCCAACCCAGTTCTGCGGGATCGGAATCAACGTTGAGTTTAAGCAAGCGAATGAGCCAATTGGAGTAAAGTGCCGTGCAGATTTAAATTTTTCCCACTTGTGACGAATGCAGCTATCGATATTTTTTGCATGCTAGCATGCTAGTCAACATTCGTGTCAGTAAGCTGTTGGCTCTCATGCTGGTCAATAGAATCTTCCTGCCTATTTGTAGCAGCCAGCTATTGGCTCTCACTCTGGCCAGTACAAAATGGCCGCAAACTACATGAAAATTACCGTAGAAGCATGAAAAAATCGATTATTTCCACTGTCGATGGGAGTTGGGAAATGCAATGTCGGTCTTGGCTTTCCCGCTAACTTGGAGCATGGGCATGTAAATTTTGGTGCAAATCCGTCGAAAATTGCGGCCGTGCATTCGTTACACACACACATACACATTCTGCCTTTTATAGATAGAGATTGTGGAGTTCTAGTGGCACCATATTATACTGCAGCCATTGCACTAGTGGTGTATCTAGAGCAAGATAGCCTGGCGGGGCCCATCCCTCTTCAGAATTGTTCTCTTTATGGTCCCCACCCCAAGGCAAGAGAACCTGAAAATTAATCCATAGCTGGGATGAAAAGAGATGGATACATACCTTACCCAAGTGTATTTACGCGAAAGTTAATGTAAGAAACTCAACAGGAATTCGAACACGAATCACCGATTTCTTTCCGAGTTTTTAACAGTTACACTATCCGCACACGTATTTTCAAGTAAAATTTCCCAGTTTCGCAAAGGTGCGTTGTTCTACGATGGTAATGTACGGTAACAATCTGTAAACATAACATCTGAAAAGATTAGTGTTTCCACTAGAAAGAATGTCCTCCATATTCTCTAGATCTTGTTCCTCTGAACATTTACCATGGACATAGCGATAGAGTTGAGATAGGCTAGTAACGTTTCCTGTGTAGAAATAGTTGCACGTTTCGCCAAGAAAGTTCTACAACTGAAGTGTAGTCTGAAGTTCCAAGATAAAATACTGTCAGTATTCCGTATACTATTCGCACTGCCATCCTCGTGTTATTTTTTCTATCGTAGAATGTTGTCTGCTTAACCCCCTCATACACATAGTATTGTTTGAAATTCTTAGATAAAGCTCATGGTCATATGAATTATCTGAAAGAAGTTTATCATTTCTTTTGTTTCGGCCGATACGTTCTCCGAACTTCTTCAAACTGATATTGTTATGTGAAAATCTTTGAATACCGGCCAATTGTACTACAATTTTCTTAGAAATTATATCTGAAAAGGAACGGAAGTATGAAGGCTGATTCAATTCAAACAAAGATGGTTAACTTCTGCTGGATTCTACAACTGGGTATAAGCTTAACGGACGAGAAAAAAAAAACAAGTATTATAAAACTTTCTGAAAGATGTCGAAAATAAATTGGTTATTTTATATTTAATTGATTGATTGTAGAAGTTTTGCTTTAATAATAATTATAAACAGAATAGCTCCTCATTGATATGGTTGTTCCTGATGACCGTAATATGAAGATCAAAGAAATTGACAAAGAAATACACGGACCTCCGGAATGAAGCTACCAGGATGTGAAACGTTCAGGCCCCGACTTAAACTGTTACAGCGGCGTTGGATTTTATAGCACCGTACTTAAAGACTTACACTGAGAAAATTGGAATTATGTCAAGTGTCCTATCACTTCAGAAGTCTGCGTTGCTTGGCGTATATTCTGCAGAAAGTGCTCTCTGTTTCCGGTCGTATGGTAATGGAATTGATAATAGCAGGAAACATTTGATATTCATTGAACGAACAACCATAACTACTTTCGGTTGAAATTTATAAAATCTTTCTCTTAAAACATTTTTTTCAGGAAAATAGGTTTCTCGGGTAGCTGATATCGCTTTTTCCAGTCTTGATGAGTGTTTACTTGAAGTAATGAGTATTGGTTTCAATCTATTTAGGAATGACAGCAAAACATTTTCCTTTCCCCATTCTACAGGCAGAATCACAGAAATGCACGCTGGAATTTTTTCCTAGCCAATAAAATAGGCCGGTTCTCGGTTTTATCTGTCCCGATCTGTCTACATTCGATTGTCCGAACATGCTTTTGTGTGTGAACTCAAATTCCTAGTTACTGAAGTTTTTGCTATAATACCGTTGCTTTGCTTTATTAGTGTTGATTTACCTTTTATATAATGATTGATTGCTTTAAATTTTAAATTGTTTTATTTTATTTATTTATTTATTTTATTTTTATCTTATTTATTTATTTTTCTTTCTTTTTTTTTCTTTTTTTTTTTTTTTGTCCTGTTCTTTTCTTTCACTTTCTTGTTATTGCTTATTTCAAATTTTGTCGATTCTGTTTATTGGATAGTTCTGTTATTTATTTTGCATTTGACCATGACTAATTACTCCCCAGTGAGGAATGACATCGCATCGTGATCGTCATTATTTTCTCTTCGAGTTACATGTGATATCCATGTTAGCTGTTGCTAGAATACCTATAATGCAATATATCCGGTTGGAAATGAAAACCGCACGAAACATACTAATGAATGTCCTAATTGGAAGAGGCATGACGCATGGAACTAGAACAGACTACCCTGGTTCGAAATTCCAATCACCTAAAGAAGGCCAGAACGTACAACGGCCGAAACGTCGTTGATATGACAACAAAGATGAGGACAGCATTCCGAACAATGTAAATATATATATATATATATATATATATATATATATATATATATATATATATATATATATATATATATATAGAGAGAGAGAGAGAGAGGGAGAGAGAGAGAGAGAAAGAAAGAAAGAAAGAAAGAAAGAAAGAAAGAAAGAGTCTGTGTATTAAAAATATTTTTCAAAATTGTGGGGGCGGGTTTCTCACACTAAATCAAGAACAAAAGTCCATATCAACATATGTCCAAAAGGCTATCGTTGTACCTCAACAAACGACTCATAACATGTTCAAAATATCCTCCATGCTTCGACACATGCACCCGTCGGCTCATTGACTGGCGGACCTTTGCAAATACTCCCACACAGTGTCGAAAGGCCCCTATGATACGTTGATGATTATTATTGTCTGCTGCGTAAACCAATTGTTTTAGGTGGCCCTACAGTTGAAACTCTAAAGGATTGTCGTCGGGGGAACGTGCAGACCATAAAACCGGTCACCACTACCTATCCATCTTTCATGGTAGATGTAAGACTTACTGGAAGAACATATGGACCTACCAGACAGTCAACTATAATTCCAGCCCACACATTATTCATAAACTGATGCTGGTGTCTAGCCTGTATTGTACCATGGGGATAAATTTGTTATTCCATCTCTTACGAACGTTGCCTCATCCGTGAACAAGACAGAAGAGATAAACAATAGATCGGCAGTTTATGTAATAAGCCATCGACAAAAGTTCTCACGTGGTGAGTGATCAGAGGGCGAAAGACCCTGTACGCATTGCAAAGGATACGGATACGGAAGCTGCCCTTGAAGTACTCTTCATACCGTACTATGAGATGTATGACATGCTAGACACACTTGACGTGTACTGATACCTGGATCGTCTCCGACAGTCCGTAGAATGTGTTCTTCGTGGTCAGGCCTACAAGCGGATCTCAGTCTTCATCGATCCATTGTTTGTAGTGCCACGCATCCTGTCTCAGCAACGTGATGATAAACAGCAGTAAAGGTTGAATCACTCGGTTGCCTTTGGTCTAGAAACGCAATGCGGCCTCGCGTCCATTACCATTCGCGCAGCAGTATTAAAAAATGCCTGCTCCCAATATCAATATCCTGCCATTGTTAAACAGAACACTCCTCCGTTAACTCACTACTACACACGTTAAACGTTGAAGACTAGCCACAAATATACACGAATGACAAATGTAACTTAGACTAATGTCAACACAGCACCAGCTATCGAAAACTTTCTTTGAAATTAATAAAACAAAAACGAAGGCTTTGCGGGCATATGTTTATATGAACTTTTGACCCTGTTTTGGTTGAGTAACTCGACCCAAAAGTTTTTTAAAATATTTTTTATACACCCTGCATATATATATATATATATATATATATATATATATATATATGTGTGTGTGTGCGTGCGTGTGTCTGTGTGTGTGTGTGTGTGCGGTATTTAGTTGAAAGTGATCAGTATCTGTGATAGAGCTAATATTTGCGGTTGTATGGAGAGTTGTTTGGGACCTTAGGCTTCATGCTTTAGCGATCTTCTGACAAACACCAACTGCACACACACACACACACACACGTATATATATATATATATATATATATATATATATACACACACATATATACACACACACGCACATATATATGTGTGTGTGTGTGTGTGTGTGTGTGTGTGTGTGATATATATATATATATATATATATATATATATATATATATACTGAGGAAATATGGTGGAGGAATCAACTTTGGATTGAGGGATTAAGAAATTGGAG